ATCTTGCATGCCTGTTTGATTTTATATCAGGTTTGCAAGGGATGTTTTATCCTGAAATATTTTACTACTTATATATTTGATCTTGCCATTTCTTTGTTTTACCAAAATATTGTTGGAAACAATCAGTCTCAAAATAATACTGGACTGAGTGTACTGTACTCAAGTTTCTGGTCTTGTACAGGATATTCCTAGAAATCCTGGACTTAGATGGTGTCTAACATATAATAAGGGGTTGTTTAGAAAGAAAAGATTAAGAAGTTAGCAAAGTGTGAGCAAACCCTCTCAGGAATCCTTTGGAACCAGAGTTGTTGACCTTGAATTTCCATGGTCTTCTCTGAGAATTTTTTTCCTTCAAGGTCTATTTCAGGAAATCGGTGAAAGTCTGACTCCTTCCCTTTCATTGAAAGATTCTTCTTGATCAGTTCTGTCCATTTTTTGATATTCTTTGAATCCAGGTTTTCAAGCTGAGCAGACCTCACATGTGCCTACTATTGATTGTTGGATTTTAATGTGTATTGAAACTTTTTGACTAAACTATTCTTGAATTGTAAAATCCTAATCAAAAATCTCTTCGTGTGCATTCTTCAAAAACTGAAATATATCAACATTAAACTATAGGGCTTTGCCCCAGCCGTAGTCTGACTGATGAAGTCTTTCATTTCCAACAGTTTCAAAATCTATCACTTGTTGAGATATTCTGGACAGATGGGTTTTTTTGTCCACTGGTAGAGTCAAGGGGCTTTTGCACATAGCCAGATTTTAGTTTGACAAGTCACCAAAATTCAACCTGCATGGGTCAAGTAGCGAAAATTCCAAGAACATTTGGGGGAAAGGACACCTACTGTTTTTTCTAGACTGTTCAAAATTAGTCCTAAATGTAGGAATGCAGAAAGATTCCACGCAATGCAAATTTTTTCCTGCCGAAATTTTCTGCAGGAAGAGAGAAAATCAAACTTTTCCCAGACTTATGATCTATTCTGCTCAGTTCAGTTTTTCACGCCTGTAACTCTTGAGTGCAAAACTTCGGAAAAATATCTTGACTGCTTTGGAGAAGTTAAAAATGTAACGTTTGAGGCAGTTTTATTGCCTTGTTCTACACGGTTTCTGACCGAAAAGAGTCTGTGGTGGAAAATTCGCGAAGGAATCCGCAACACTCATGATAAAAATTGCCGTACTGTATATATTTCGCCATTTTGCTAAAAGGAATCTCTGAAGATGAAAACGAGCTATCTGAAGTCAGCCATGGGTGTTTGGACCCCCCAGTGCTTCTGCTTTCCCGGAGCCGATATTCATCATCATTTCTGCCAGCTTATTCAGCACATTCGCAGCTTCCAAAGAGATACTTGTTCCCCCGACTTCATATTTATTTAGCAAACCTCCGGAAGGGATGTCCTACAAAGTTGCCGGCAGGGAACTGACGGCAAATCCCTTCATGTAGAGATCCACATATACGTAGAGCGAAAAATAATGCAACATAACTTGCTTCACATAAAAATATTACTTTCATTCAAGCATCTCTTTAGGTATCCGTATAGTCGGGCTATCTTTTATTCACAAGGATGCGGGAAACAAGATTCACATTCAAGTGCTGCCAAAAATCTTTGGAATAAAATATTACGTTCATTTTTCGCATGGTACAGCATTAAAAAAAGCGAAGTATTGTCTGACGTTTTTATTCGACACAACCACTCAGTAATTAAAAAATACAGCATAAAAAATGCAAAGCACATGATTGTCTGACGTTTTTACTCGACACAACAACTCATGAACTCAATTTTTTTAAATCTCAGGGATGTCGTTCATATTCTGAATAAAATTTCATAATTTGAATGCGAAAAATGAACGTATACTGGGCTATAGTGGAATTCCGCAGACGCAAAGAAAGTAATTTCCGTATTTAAAAAATGAAGCTATACTAAATCCAGGATATCTTATCTGGAGAAAGCTGGTCGCTACAAAAATAACACGAGAAAATATTTCGAAAGAAAAAAAAGCCCTGCGAAAAGCAGCTGATGATGGTGTGGAAATCTTCCAAGACGATGTCGTTCTACCAAATCCCATGATCGGTTTTCTGGATAAAACTACTGTTTTAAATTTTATGTTTTTCAACTTCGTGAACGAGTTTCACTCTCCGTTTAGTATTGCGTAAGTTAGGTACATTTATAAAATTATTTACATAATTTGAGCATCACAGCGAGATTCACAGCATCGGAATTATGCACGAAGAAAAATGCTCAGGGGAGTATTTCGTTCATGTTGCTTTTCTGAGGGGAACTTTTAAATTGGCTGCTTTTCCCCGGTCGAAAAAACTTAATGTCAAAGCTTTTTGACGGACAAATCTTCGCAGAAGAATTTTCTATGAAGCTGTCAGTCTATTTTTTTTTTTTAACAGCTAAGTAAGTACAGTATTTTTTCTTGGACAAATGGATTCCTTCAAGTACCGCGGATTCAAGCCATCTTTTAACCCAAGAAACCCCTTGAACCGAAGGACAGCAAAAGCAATATCTTCTTGACGTAACTCAAATCGAGTCCCTTGGTCTTCTCCTCCAATTTATTCATCATTCCATCAACGACGACCTTCGCTGTGTTCTCTCAGTTTTATTTCCTTTCCTGTATAACGATTTCTTTTTTTCCCACTCGAGTAATTCAGGTATGAATCTGAAACCCTTCAGGTGGTTTTAAATGAACCAAACAGCGATGGAAGCAGAACAGGATTCCACGGTTTCAAGCGATTTTTCGCCGGATTACAGCGACTCGGAAATCCCGACTCGCGAGCAAATGGCTTATGCTCGAAGAAGCATGAACGATCCGGTCAGGGTCATCTACATGTTGGATGCTGATAAAAAACTGTATTCCAGGTGTGAATTGCTTTCATTTTCCTGCATAAAATCACTGGGTTTCCTTTTTGTCGTCATTCATGGCCCTACAGAAAACCCCGCCCGAACGTCAGCGATGTGGCCAAAAACTTGAATATAAAAAGTTATGGAATTGGCAATTTTTACAGATATAAATTGAATGTTCTCAAGCTGGTAATTTATGCTGTACTCTTGGTTGTTGAGACCACGGAGAATAATCCATGGATCCCAATTTTCATAATTCTGAAAATTTTCCTCTCCGTGAATAATAAAGAAAAAGAAAATACAGTACTATATTCTTTATTTCTTTTAGCTCGGATTTCTCTCGACTGCCTTCAAAAATAAGCGATTGGGAATCAAAATCGGTTGCACCAGTTATTCACGAACCAACTTCCAGCAGTGATTCGTCCCCTTCACAAAAGCTGTCATATTCCTATCCGGAGAAATCAACCGAAAGACGAAAAAAAGGTCAAAATCGTGGACTTGGATTTTTCGAAATTTTTTTTGTGATAATAATCACCATTATCTCCTTCCACGGAAAAAAATATTAGGATTTTTTGGCGAAATGCCTGCAAAAGTGGTTGAGCCACAGTCTGAGGTCGCCTTGTCATCAGCAGAATGTCACACAACTTCGNTTTTTGTGATAATAATCACCATTATCTCCTTCCACGGAAAAAAATATTAGGATTTTTTGGCGAAATGCCTGCAAAAGTGGTTGAGCCACAGTCTGAGGTCGCCTTGTCATCAGCAGAATGTCACACAACTTCGTCAGAAAGCACGCCGATTTCCGTTGACGCAAGTGTAAATTATTGTACAATCCCTCCTTCTAAATTTACAATTTTACAGATTTTCTAAACATTTTTGAATTTGCCTTCTAAAAATGCATCTTCTGTCTTCAGAGAGTGGAGCAGATTTCCATCTGTGATGCTCCAAGAATGGATGCGGGAACAATTGAAGATGTTATCACATGGATGGGATACGGAAAGCAGCGACGCTCCAAGGCTTTTGCATTCACTACTACAAATCATGATTCCAAGTCTGCTACCGAGATGTCGCTGTTACACCACAAAAGCAAACGACGCTCTTCCGCAACAGCGACGGCAGTAACCGTAGCAACGATAAGCAATGACAATAACAGTGACGCCAGAGCATTCCAAATGCTACTCAACTTCTTTGACAAAAAACTGACGAATGCTCTGCAACAGAGAACATTTCCCATCCATGTGAGTATAATATGTATAATCGCATTTACTCGAAGGTATACACACCAATAAACGTGAATATAATTCACATCAATGATCAATAAATTTACAGTATTGAAAAATTGTTTCAAAAATACTGTACTCGAATTAGTTTTTTTTTTTATTTCACCGCGTCTTAGAATCTAATGTATTTTGATCATTCTCGATTTCTTCTTCTGAATATCTTAATTGTAACATAAATACTTCACAATATACAGCAGGTAATTGAAATCATTTTGAAAATAAATATTCAGAAAATGTGACAATCCTTTTATATTATTCAATTTGAAAAAAAGCGCTGAATCGAAAGGGTGTCTTTGAAGTACAGTACTGTATGATAATTCTGGACTCGAATTAGGCAAAGATCGTTAGATTATGCATGGACATTATTTCCATTCGGAATGTTCAGAAAATTACTGTAAGCCGATAATTGCTCCAATACTAATAAAGATTTAAATCTTTCAATTGAAACGCATCCAAATAATTGTACATATTAAATTATATTTCCAAGTGTTTTTGGGTCATTTCCTAAAGAAATCATTGAACAGTGGATGGGCTCATAAATAAAAGTTGCGCAAATAACTTCATATTTTTTTAATGCTTTATAAAAGCCTATTAACCATAGAGAACGAAAAACCAAATTTTGTGTGTCCATTATTATGAATATGGAAGTACAGTATAAATAAAATGTTGTACTGCTACTGCATTAAATAAGTTATGTTGAGATTTTTATAAAATAACGTCTTCCCATGAATTCTCCAGAAAAGTTTGTACATTTTTGCTGAGCGTAAACTGCTCGCACATACTGTAATATACTACATACAGTAATCAGAAACGTCTCGCATTCAAGTTGATGAGATTCTTCAAAGTTGAATCAATTCATTCATTTCATACTTGACAGAAATCCAATAAAACAAAGGCGTCATTGGAATTGGGAAAGTCTACGTCGAAGAGCATCAATTCCGTATCAAACTTCTTAATGAGGGAAACCAAGCGGACAAAAGAGCGTAAGAACTAAAGTCGAAGACAAAAAGTACACGAAAAGTAGCGGCTGTAAGGAGGCTCAATAACAGCGTCAGGCACCGTAATAATGAACTTAGGGGACTGCTTCTCTTATACTTGAAAGAAATTAAATGTGACAAGGAATTATTGAAAATATTTTTTTCAGGTACAGCGAGGAATGAACCCGAAGTCGTGAAAATTGAGTTCGTTGCTTTATAATCAACAATAATAACAAAACATCACAAGAATCGGCTCGAACAAAAAACATGAGCAAACTGATGGTAACTGAAAGTTTTTAACAAGCTACTATATTGGTCATTTTTCCTTTGGTGTTTCTGAAAATATAAACCGAACTTATGCGATAATCATTCCGCTACGAACAAAAATATACAGGAATTATGTATATTAAGAAATAACCCGCAAAACATGAGCATGCGAATGAATACGCTTCACTTCCGTAAAATGTGTTGTCCGAAAATATCTACAGTACCTTTTCTTTTTAACATTAGATATGTAGAATAAAAATTAATAAACCGCATAACCTTAAAAAAATATTTTGTTATCAAAAACTATTCACTCATCAAGCGTCAGCAATCGCGACTTAAATTTCTCAAGCATTTCAAATATAATCATTTAAAAATTATTCAGCTAGCATGATCATCTGGATGATCATGATTATTTTTCTAGACGCATATTTAATTATATGCAGTGATTCATTATGGAAACATATTTTTCGTCGATATAATTGAGGAACCCTGTATATCTGATGTGACATACTTTTATATCCTTCCATAAATTCTTCAAGAAAAATTAAAAAAAATTCTTAAAAGCATTACGCAATTTAATAATAAATTCACTACTTTCTGGTATTTCATCCACGTACGAGACTAAAGTGATACTATTATTCAAAACAACAAAACCATGTGATCCTGCCCAAGTAAATCACGAAAACCGATAATTTTCTCTATATGCAGTACTCGTAGAAATCAACACGTAAATATAATTAAAACTATATTTTATTTCAAAGGAAAATTGCAACCCTATATGTTGTGATTCAAAGTATGCCAAGATTCCTGAACAGTTCGGCTAAAATACCTTCTGTACGTATTTACGCCTTCGCAAATTTTCAAAATGAAATTGCCATTCGAAACGCTGCATTTTGTTTTCTTTTAGATTCATAAATTTAAATTATCAAGTACCTGAAAGTTACTACGATCAACAATTTATTTCAATGTACAGTACGCTTTTATTCAGGTTGACAACGTCGTTAGTGGGACCATAATTTTTTAGTGGCATCAAGCGGGGGAAAATAACGTCAAGTATGAAGTGCGAGGCAGTTTTCCTGAGATTGAAGGCGTTGCAATTGGTCTCAATTCCCGACATCATCTTCTGAGGTAGTTGGCACGGATGTCATCGTTTTGCATTGCCGTAGTGAGCCAAGGAATGTATCGGGCCGTGTTCATGTAGATACCGGAAGTTAATGGCCTACCGCACCCTTTGCCACCGGACACGATTCCGGCCAGGATGAACCTCCCTTCTTCTCTGACAATGAGTGGACCACCGGAATCACCCTGAAATAATAAGAGAAAAATTGAAAATATATACTTTCGTACACCGAAGATACTTTCCTTGAGAGAAAAATCAAAGTCCTCATTGAGCTTTTGATGAAGTTATGCTGGTGAACTCTGTCTACAACGAAATTCTCTCTACAAGGATTTTTTCTTGTCCCCTGAATTTTGTTGTGGTTCAAAGTAAAAGGGGTTCTCTAAAACCCCTAGCATTTCATTGTAGAAACCCCCTTTACTTTGAGCCACCACGAATTTCAGGGGGCCTTCTATACAGAGAATTTCTTTGTAGAAAGAGTCCAATTAACTGCATCACTTTATTAAGAACTTAAAGGACATTTTTTTATCTGAAGATCTTAAGGTACGTCACCAGATTATCTCTACAACGATTTTTTCTGGTTCTCTGAATTTTGTTGTAGAGAACCCCTTTGAGGACCACAAAAATTGTCATGAAGAGAAAATCGTTGTGGACAAGATCTTTGTAGACAGAATATTAAGCGTAGTAAAATTGTTAATGCATTGTATCACTTGTATATTTAAATGTCTCATTTTTAATAGTTTAATAGCTCATGCATGAAATTCATTATTTACATATACCATACCACAGTATTTCTTACAAATAAAAATGAGGAATGTTAATAAGAGAAATTTTCTCACATGACAGGCATCTCTTCCGCCTCGGATCCTGCCCCCAGCACACAAATGGTTGCTGCTGAACCCATACCGGAAGTAGATGAGGTAGCACATGAATCTAGGCAAAATTGGCAGCGTCACCTGCCGCAACACACTTGCTTGTGGTCCACCTGGAGATGGAAGGCAAAAAATAAGATTTGACGCGCATATTTTTTTTTTTGCACACAACAATGAAACTCAAAATATTTAATCGAAATAAAAATCAACATATCAGCCTATCGTCATGGAATATGCTTCGAATTTATTTAATGCAAAGGATTTTTTCCTCCAATTCATTTCGCCTTCTCAAAAACTTATTCAAGGCTTACCAGACGTTCCTGATTTTTAAAAAAGCTTCTTTTAATTTTTTTCCTTGTATTAACACTGGAAGGAAACCTACGATTTTATATTTTCTACCGAAAAGATTTCAGAAGTTTATGAGCAACCACTTGCATTCGATATGGAACAAATTTTAAAGCCTCTGCACGAACGCATTATTATCATAGCAGGTGGTGATCAAGAATGAGAAGGAAGGAATGTATGATGAATAAACCCTTCCTGCTTTGTACCTTATCGGTTCCAAGATGCCCAAATGATACGGCATATCTATGTGATCATTTCTCATTGCTCTTCCTTCTTAATTGCTTTTCTAAAAAGGCAAGTGTCGGAAAATCAATCAAGTTTCAACGAGCTGTTTCGGAGCGGCGTGAGGATGCTCTTGATTTGCATCTTTGGAAAGCGTCGGATCTGACCTACAGGAAGCACACATGATTAATCTTCGATGGGGAAGAAGTTCTTTTTAAAGCTCACCCAAAAAGAAAATGCTAGTTTTTTTTTTAAGTTTTTCAATGAAGTCCTTATGATAGGGTTCCTGTTCTATTATAATTTATCAAGCGAATTTTTTGAAGCATCGAAATGCCGTTAAGAAATAAATTGTGGATTGTACCCACTTTCAAGACATGTCAGAATTTTTGCAACAACTTCTGCTGGGTTTCTCTATTTGAGGGTTATTTCCTGACATTACGAATTTAGATAGATTTATAACCGTGTGAATTTAGTTATAAGGAGTGTATATACTGGATATTACAGCATTAACTTCACTGCACCATGTCCTGAACTTAAGTTGAAGACAGTTGGAAAATATGCGGCACTGTACATTAATTTTTCTGTTTTCAAGGATGGGTTTACTTTTACTTTGGATTCAACCTATTGTAAGTGCAATTTTTTTGAAAGCAGCTCCAGATTGTATTTTTCCTGGAACTGATGCCAATTCAAGCTAAGTAGATAGTACAATGGAACTACGTAAAAACAGGACGTAAATAATGTTAACTTGGGGAGTTGCAACTTAAACTTCCCAGAGGTTTTTAAAGCGCATCCTATAAAAACGAACTTCCTCTTATCAGACTAAAATACACCTGATTTAGCAAGGGAATTTATTTTCTGGCCCGATTATAAAACGTTTTTATCATTCTCGTGTCCCCTTCCTTCATTACATATGTCAGGGGCTCATAAGCCTCTCTGACAAAGATTGAAGTTTCACCCTTCTAGTGAAATAAAAGAGTGAGCACAATCGGCCGTTTGCGGCCTGAGGTCAGTACCTCAATCGTCGGTTTATATGTTCTTCAGTTTCAAACAATGTTCAAATATAATCAGCAACAAACAGTGAGTATCAGTCTCTTGAAGACTCAGCAATGACAAGTGTTTTTAGATTCACAATGATTTCACACACAAAAAGTCAAGGCTGGTTTTCCTTGGAATCTTGTTTTTGTATTTGTTCAGAATATTTGTTTCATAATTGTTTATATAATCATCTTCTAGAAGAAGATGGATTTCTTTTTCTCGAATCTTGTGACGACGTGGCATTTTCGTACGCCGCGTCGAATTTTTCTTCTCCTGTTTGTTCCTCTGACTCGGGCGACATCTAGTCGTCCCGAGAAAAGCGGCGTGTCAGCAGGCGACATCTGTTCGACCCGTGACAACATATACGAATCTCTCATGAAAAATGTTACCGGGATAATTTTCATCTGGCTTTTTTGTTTCCTTGAAAAGGTTTTCTGAAATGTCCCCCTGTGATGGAACAAAGGCCTTAAAATTCGATCAAATGAGGTTAATGCCATGCAAAATGTTTGAGTCGGGGAAATTTAAAATGCACATGCTTTGATGGTATTGACCCGGGGATTCGTTGGAAATTTTAATTATGCAGGTCACAATTGCAGAAGTTCAACTGTACTTCAAGAAAATTAAACGTCCTGCACCTCAACGACGTATTTCAGTTTTTATGAGAGCAGAGATTGTTTTTCCATCAATTATTCATGCTTTCCTTTGTTTATTTGTGAATGGATTTATGAATACAAATTACCGTATTCCATTTCTTGATTTTCCAAGATTCGATTTTTTAATATCTTGACAAAATTACCCAGATCACCCGGTAATTTTTCAATTTAACGTTGTTACCCATACCATAGCATGGAGAGCAGGCGTTTTTAATGAACATTTGAAAAAACACTAATCAAAAGATATTATCTAAGGTTTTTCTAAAGATGACCCAAAAAGAACCTTGCGTTTTTTTACAAATAAGGGACCATGGCACCCCTGCTAATTATTAATATTAATAATCATCCTGCAAAAACCAGTTCTGGGCCTAGAAGGCCTCAGCGCCAAGGAACAAATTCCTTTATTGTATGATGATACCCAGCATTGTCTTTGATGCAACCAGAATAACCCAATAAGACACCA